GCTTTAGTCCAGATATATGAAGTGTAGAGCAGATTGGTGGACAAATTATGAGTCTCATTCAGTGTTATTTTAGATGCTTAGCAGCATCACAGACCAATTTCTAACTGGTCTTTTACCAGTTTTGCAGAAATATCCAGTTTCCATTTGTGACTATTTTTCCATATTTTCTACAGTCACTAATGACTCACCTCACTATGCTATGATAGTTAGGTCAAATTAGCTGTTTTTGTCCTTGTCCCCCTCTCCTGACTGATACCTTTGTTTAATAAGCTGAATTTTGTACCCTCTGTGTAAATAATGACATCAGGTAAAACATGGAGATGAGCAAATGTTTATTCAAAGGTTTATTTTAAATATATATGTGGCACTTTTCTAATCAGTCAATATTATGCACATTTCCATCATTGCAGAGACGCAGATTTATTTTTACCCATATAGAGTCCAATTGAGACAGCATGGTGGACGCTCATATTTAATTTATAAAAGCTGAATGCTTGGTCACCACTGAACAGATGTGAAAATGTGGCTGTGCCCTTATCATGATATACTGATTATTAAGTTCTGATACGCAGGTGGTAAATAGGCAAAATTTAATCTTGCTGTTTCTGAAAACAGTTTAAATTTACACTTTTTACAAATTTAAACTTTTAAACTTTTAAACTGATGGAGTTTAGTGAAACTGTGTGTTTTCTTTGCAACCCAAACACTTTAATGTTGGATTTCAGGCTCTTCTGTTTCAACTAAATGACATAAAATGTAAAATTATCTGTTCTTTTTAAACTCAAAAAGCTGCAAAGATCATATTGTTTCCTAAGTTATCATTGCACATTTAACAATATTGTTGAGGAACATAGAAATAAATAGAAACATTAGCAGTTTAAACATTCCCCTGATCCTTTGCTTCAGAGGTTTGTGATTGGTTTATTGATTGTTTTCCATTTTGGCACATTAGTTTCTGGTGTTTCTGAGGGCATTGCTTCAGTATTTGCAGTTAACATTCATGACATCTCAGCACTTTAATCACACCTTTTGGCTTTTAACACAATTTATGGAGCGCATATTATGAGGAGACCTGTGGCTGAACGGTTGTGAGTTTGATTCCAGCTCTGAGGAAAATTTAAAAATTCAATTGGGTGCATGTATATTTAAGTATTCACACCCCTTTAAGTTTTCCACCTATGTTCATGTTACATTCTTGTTGAGATTTTATATAGCTGGCCAACACCAGGTGGTTCATAATTGTGAAGTGGATGGAAAATGAAAATTTGCTTTTAAAAGTTTTTAAGTATCACAATTCTAGTTCAAGCTCAGTCAGATTGGATTTAGAGAATCTGTGAACACTCTTCTAAGTTTTTGTACAAATTCTTCTGTTGGATTAAGCTCTTTCCTTTGATTGGTCCATTCCGACACAAATATGCTTTTGATCTAAACCCCGATACCTTGCATCTCTGCAGGGGTGTTCAATGGGGCAGTATTATGTAAAATTGAGCTTTACATCATGTTATAATTTTATTCCCTCATCACAAACATGCCAGTAGTGTTGCTTTGATTCTTTCATGCATGTTTGAGAAACATTTTAATCTCCATGGCAACCATTCAGTTGTGCAAAACGCCTGGTTGGACCTAGCCCCGCCTTTCGAGACCCAAGCTCCACCTCGGAGCTGCAGTTTCCAAGCCTCACAGAGCAGCCCTCTCCCACTCAGCTCCTTCAGACTAGCCAGCAGCAATTAGCAAACACCTGGTGGAACTTAGCATCCGCTGAGCTCGTTAGACGAGCTGCTACTCAGTGAAATGCTGGTAAAAACATTATTAAAGACTTAATAGAGGAGAGATGTTGTAATGACTTCCTGAAGGTGTTGGAAAGAGCAAAAGTTTCTTATTTCAAGGCGTTAATTTCAAGTCAGTGTTTGTTAAGTCATGATTACAGCATTTTTACAACACCTGAATGTAACATAGTTACTTGAACAGCTGGATTTATGTGTAGATTAAGTTACATAGAGGTGGATTCTGTTTACAAATTAGTTGACTTCTGTAGGAAGTTGGTCATACTTGGTTTTATTTAAGAGTATTAAAGTAAAAGGGGGTTAACTACAAGAAGACGCTGATTTTGTTTTTTGATTTCATATGTAAAAAAGTAGATTTTACTTCCATATGAGATAATTATTACTTTCTGTTGATGTAGCAAATAAAACCCTAATAAAAGTCAGCAAAGTTTGTGGTTGTAATGTGAAAGAAAGGGGAAAAGGTTAAAGGGATATGAACACTGGGGTAAATAATGATTTCAGACAGAGGTACAATTAGGTGGCATGTCTGAGTATAAGACAGAAAATATCAGAAATGCTAAAGATTAAGTTGTTCATGTAAAATTATCTAAAAAGTCTTTGATCACCTGGATTGGATGCTGTTTGGCATTTCTATATAGTATGACAAACTGATTAAGAAATTAAACTTCTGATGAAGTTTAAATGAAAACATGTGTATATCATGTGAAGCTCATTTTCAGAATTACAAATAATGGATGTAGAACAAAGGCAAACAAAAAGAAAATTATTCAGGACAGCCTAATAAACTGTAATTAAGTACAATAAACAGAAATACCAATTTCCTATTTGACTAAAACCCTCACTACAATCACATTGTAGCTCAGAAAGCAACACAAAGATGCATAAAAGCAGAAAAACTCCCCTGAGGCAGAAAGCCCCCATCGTTATAGAAATTTTCTGGGAGGTGCATTGTGCGGCCGTACCTCTAGATGTATCGGTTTTGTTTCTCTTGGCTTGCAGATGTGGGCTGTGTTATGCTTCTGCTAAGCCAAACAGACTTAGGAATGGCTCTGTGTGCCAAAGCATGCAAGGCAAAATGTTTTAAAAAGATCTTCAAGAGGGTTGGAAAAGAGAGGCTATGGAAAGAAAGGCCTTTAGAGCAAAACTTAAACTGTATGTGTTTCGCGTTGCCTTTAAAAAAGAAAGATTTTCAGCCGTCTGATTAAACTTGATTAATGTAACAGAAGCCTTATCAATCATTGTGCTTATCACTCACAATCAGAGCTAAATTGTAGGTATTTTTAACTGTTTCCATGAAGGTTTGAGATGACAGAAAAAAACTTAGGAATAAACGCTGCATGTTATCCATTTAGATATTCCTTATTTACAAGTTTCTGCAGCTTCTTATTCTGGAGATTCATGTTGGGTTTGCAGCCTTCTTCAGAAAGCACTCCTCCAAATTTACCCTGGTTTTCTCCTCACCCTTAACCAGTCAGGGCCCCTTAAGGAGGAGACAGAAAGCGACAGATTAGCATCTAAGTCAAACTAGTAGGCTCTGTTTTCTGATAACTGTTGCACAACTAACAGCTGAAATCACATGGCAGCCTATCTCAAGGTCTGCATGCTCATCCTGCAAAAGTGTGTCTGAGAATCCTCAGCAAGTTTAATTTAGACGTACAAATCCTGCAGAATGAACTCACCCTACTGGCTCATAAACATCCTCCCTGCTTGCAATATAACATGTTGGACTGAAAATAGTGCAAGGATGCAAAGCTGGGTCAAACAGGAGCCTTTATACAGAATATTCTTGGAAATACGCTATCACAAGACTGATTATTGCACCAAACAGTCAGCTGTTGTTTAGTTGTAGGGCTACCGACGTGGCTTTTAACCACATTAACAACAGAAACACACAGAAGTGTACAGGTCACAGAGCTATAGAAAAATCTGAACAAACAGGAGTCATCAAGCAAGAAAAAATACACACTGTGACAAGAGTTGGTTCAATATTTGCATATTTCCTGCCGTTTTTGCACACCTGACATTGTCCTTTTTATAATCTGTGTATTTCTTTCAGGATGGCTGAACCGCGCTTTAACAATCCCTACTTTTGGCCTCCTCCTCCTTCTATGCCTGGCCAGGTGAGAACCACCTTTCACAACTAAAACCAATCTTAAAGTCAATCTTTTAGACATCAATGAAACAATACAGTTCTGTCTGACTGACTTATGATTATAAGAAATAATAGGTTTTCTGATCCTAAGAAGGAATAAAGAAGGAATATTGTGAATATTTAATTGTTTGAGCTGTCAACAGATCATTTTGACCAAAATGTAATTAAATAGCACACTGCGAAGCTTGATATGTATTCCCCTGGTTTTTACCAATAAATGATCATATAAACTGGATTTCAGTTAAACCTACTGGCTCCTCTGAGTCCAAAAGTCTGAAAAATATATTTATTCTAATTGAAAGATTAATTAGTAAACACAAAACATCTTTCAGCCACTTTGAGCTGTAAACTCCTTAAAGGAGTTTAGGGAAGGACACCTCTGCTGTTAGGTAAAACTCCCAAGAGTCAGCAGTTTTTCAACAAAAACACAGTTATATTCAATCATTTAAAATATTATTGAAAAGCTAATTTATAGTACTAACTCTTAAGGGAAACACATTTATGATGATTTTCCACTTACAGCAACTGAAAACACATCATAAGATTAGAATAGCAATTTTAATACAAACAAATAAGTCCTTTACAAAAAACATGTTAAGGTTGTTATTTTCAAAAGTCATTTTTAATCTCATATTTATTGAATATGACCGTAGGTGTTAGTGGTATTCTTAATAAAGAAACAATAAACCAGTTGAAGTAATGTCCCCTAATGTCAGTTAGTTTATTTTTTCTGTTTGTTTTTGAGTTTTGTTAAGCTGAACAAGCTAGTAGCTGTGTTAGCTGCGTTAGCTAGCCAGCAGCAGTTGGCTGTTTAGCTAACTGACAGTTGTGGTAGCCTCTTTAATTCACAGTACCGAAGCAGCTCAACTGACCAGGTGTGGGTTTGGTAGCAGAAAATATGTCAAAACCCTGATTTAGTCATTTGTAATTGTTAAACAGTTTCTTTTTTTGACCATCAGAAACGGCTAACTGGCAGCTAGCAGCAACAAGCAAGAGAAGAGGAGCATAACTGCATGCTGCAGTGACTCCACCATAAAGAGAGTTTAAAGGAATAGTGTACATACCTGTAGCAGGGGGATTTCTTATTTCAGTGAGCTTGTAGAAAAATTAAGAAGTCTACAGAGCTACTGTAGGCTAACAGCTTTTCAGATGGATAGCACCTCTTTGATTTAGCTGAGTTCAGTAATGTGAAACAATTTAATCTGAAAATTTACGCATCAGCAGGATCCACAACATGGATGTTAATTTGCCCAATTTGTACATTAGACATTTGTTTGATTTCATCTGGAAAAGCAGACCTGGAAAAGCACAGAACCATATTATTTTCAATGTCAATTTACAGCTTGTTGAAAGAATTGAAAAGGTTTAGTCATATCTTGTGATATCAAGGTGAAAAAAGTGTAAGACAAAGTAGAAGTTTATTATACCTTCTCTTTGTTTTACAGAAGGCATGATCAAAATCACAGCATCAGAATATATTTTATATCTCCAAGGAACCCCAGCAAAGTCTGTAGACAAACTCAGTAACGTAATAGCTATATTAATTAGGAAGCATTTAGCGCTATTAAAAAAAATATGATAAAATCCAAATAAAAGTCTTGAATTCACAAAAAAACTACAGGTTACAGTTTAGACTGGAGGAAAGTATTTTCTTTCACGTTTCACATTTTCATTGCTTGGCAGCGTCAGTAAATGCAAAGACTGTCTCAATTCTGCCTCACTTGTAGACAGAGCATTTTTACTTTTGTAAAGTGTGAATATTTAACATGACATGACGTGAAAGCCAGACGGCCTCAAACTTTTGATGAATTTTTGAGTTTTAGGTCAAATTTCAATGATTTCCCTTTACTGCTCCTTCTTTTTTTTACATTTTCAACCTCAGCTCATAACTTATCTGACATTCTCCAGCACAAAAGCCAATACTTGATAAGAAGAGTGTTTGCATTTTATTTTTTTAATTTCATTTAATCCCTGGATTTCATCCCAAAACCACATCAAAGCATGTCTCACTGCCCTAAATGTAGAAACCAGTGACTGAAACGGCAGATTTATTGGATTACATTTGTCTTCTGCAATAATAAAATAAAAGTTTGTCTTACAGAAAAGATAGATTAAATTAGAAACATTAAAATGTATTTCTCAAAATCTTTGAAGCATCAATTCAACAAAACCATAAAAGTAAGAAGAAAAAACAGGGACTTTTATATCCTCTATGTTCTGAAGATTTTTAAAAGTACATAAATATCTTACTCAAAAGTAGCTATTTATTTGCATAAAGAAGATTCAAACAAATACAAAGCTAAACAGGCATTCCTTCAAAGTCTCAAAGCTTTGGCTGCAATGTCTGGTGTCAACCAATAGAGGGCACCATAGCCCTGAGAAGTGTCACTGATTGAACTGATGATGGCTGTTCTTCTGTCACTAATGGTGGTTTCTGGCTGTCAGCTGGATAACCTAGTCTTGATCAATAAAATCAAGGAGCAGCTGATGGCGGAGAAGATCCGGCCGCCACACCTGCCCGCTGTTTCGGCCGCCTCCCAGCAGCCTCTGATGTCTCCATCGGGCCAGGCCGAAGGCAGCCAGCACGGGATGTCCAAAGCTCAGCAGGGGTCCGGGCTGCACAGTCCAAGCCCGTCGCAGCCTGACATCGCCCTGCACGCCCGCCCTGCCTCCAGCTCCGTCACAGGTACTCCAACTACGTCCACAGATTAAATTAATCTAATTAATTATTAAAAAACTAACGCTGTCAATCCATTAAAAAGTGTAATCACATTAATCACGCTCTGTGATTAATCATAATTAATCAGTTTACGTAACTTTTTAACTTGACATGCAAATATGCAAGTTTTCAAAAAAATGTTTGAGAATCTTCAGACAATAAAACATTTTCTTACTTCTCCAAAGTTTTCATATTAAGGCAGATTTAAAATAAATCTTTTTGTTTTAAACTTTAACTTAGCAATATCAATCATTTTAAAATGACATAATCAGAGGGACCAAGATATAAAGTTAAGTGGAAATTTTGGTATTTTAAGGATGAAAATTAATAATTTGCATAAGTAACAAAAAATAAAAGAAAATTTTTCCAAAATTAGTTTCATTTAATAAAAACTTATTAAACTTTAACAAAAACTGCAGGTGTGTGTCTTCATTTAATTTTTGGTTAAAACATCTTCAGTGAACTTGCTCTCAGTGGGTAGAAAATCCAGAAATTATACTCAAGAGTAGCAATACTTCATGATAAAATGACTCAAGTACAAGGCAGTAAATTTACTCCTAAAAGTACTTTATTTGAAAAAGGTTTCTCAAGCAAATGTAATTGAATAAAAGTAACTAGTTACTATCCAACTCTGATCAAGACGTATATTTTTCTCCTTAATCAGGTCGTATTCTTGGAGATGTGAACTTGAATTTGGACGACAAGGCAGCTCTGAAAGCCCGGGGCCTGTGGGAGGACTGGCACCTGCGTCAGCTCATAGACCATCCCTCCAGAACAAACCACGTCTCAGGTGAGCAAACAAGACAAACCTTTCCTCAGTGGGTTCACTTCACCTGCCTCAGAGGACTTTTCTTTTCTTTGTTCCTCTTAGCTTAACCGCTCCAGATGATGCAGAGCAATAAAGAGGAAGCGTTCATTCATTAATTAGTTGTAAATTAAACCGACACTAGAAGCGCCTCAGAAAGCTGGAGGGAAGATATGAAATTTTTAAAAAAGGCATCCTTTCAATTTTTTTTGAATTATTCATTTTTTATACATTTAATATGTTTTTCAATTATTATTATTATTATTATTATTATTATTATTATTATTATTATTATTATTATTATTATTATTAAATAAGTTAAAATAACTTATGGAAGGTGCAGATAGAAGATAGAAATAGCCAACAGAGGGCGCAATGCACTGTAAAACGTTTGAGCTGCATTTAGTTCTAATATCTTCAACTATTTAAGTCAAATAAATTTAGTGAGTTTTAGATTTGAACCTAAATGTGAATTTGTGAAAGATAAACTTGCAGTAGTAAGTTGTGTTAACTTTTTTATTAAACTTGTCAAACTTAAAAAAACTGAAATAAGAAAAAGACAGGAGCGGGAACTATCTCCCAGAATGCTTAGCGGCTTGTTTTTGTGTCCTGAGATGGAAGTGCGTTACATTGATCTGACTCTATTTGTTATTAATGCAAATGTTTATTTTAAAGCTTAAGGATAATGTCCTTAAACTAAATGTTTTTAGCATTAGTCATTGTGATGTTTAATAAAATTCATTATCAGATCAGAAATTTTGTTCATGCAATTTGAAACTAAAATAAGTATTTATTTTAACTTGGTATTGTGAGTGAAAATAATAACGAAATGTGGCTCTTTAACTGGGTGAGGCCAGTTCTTTTCTTCCATATTGTGAAATTATTATTTGGTTTAAATTGCAGCATTAAGTTAAAACTCTCAATTCAAGATTAATGAACTTAAAAATGTTAGCCTCAAGCTGGTGGCATCAACTAACACTCTTTGGTTACCTAGCAACACCCTGTTAAGTAAGTTGTGGTTACTTAGCAACCTGATGAGTAACTTGCAGCAGTTTAAGGTTTTGCCACCGTGCCTAATCTATGCTTAAAAGTAAAAAAACAACAGAGTGAAGTGAAAACTGGCTAAACCAGGAAAGGTCATGCCACCACTTTGCCATTATGTAAAATATTTAAAACAAAAAAACAACAACTAATCAATAATAATCAATATCGAGTGATATGAAATACTTACTTCGTGATAAAGTTTTCAGCCATATTGTCCAGCCATTATTATAACAGCTATGATAATGTTCAGTAATGTTCTCATCTTCACCGTTGTTCCTGTCAGGTGTGGCACTGGCATCCAGAACCGGGAACCTCAGCACTTCGGAGATCATAACCCCAACAACGCCCACCTCAAGCAGCCACAGCCGGCTGGGTGGAGCCCCCACCCCTCACCTCATCTCAGGGTTAGCCGGCAGCCACGGGATCGAGCCGGGGAAGACCAACGGGGGCTTTGTGGGTCTCCTCGGCCCGCCTCCGAAGCAGGATCGAGGGCGCAAGAAGATCAAGGCAGAGAATGGCTCGTCGCTTTTGGTGGTTCCGTACCCGATCCTGGCCTCAGGCAACGACCAGTCCTGCGTCACCATCACCGCTAAGGAGGGCAAAACCTACAGGTGAGGAAAAACTGTTGTATTCTGCTTAGAGCAGGACAATAAATCAGGACCAATATAGATCATGATAGAGGCATGATCAATATCAATAGATAATACATCTGATAGAATATTCAGTATTCAATGTATAGAATATTCACTGAACTCCAGAAGCACACAGCATTCTGGGAGATGTAGGCAGAGGAAAGGCTCAAACTCTCATGGCCAGAAAAGTAAGATTGGTGGAGTCAACTAGCTAATTCGCTCTTTGGTTACCTAGCAACTCACTCACTCTTTGGTTACCGAGCAACAACCAGTTGAGTAACTGCCGCAGCAGCAGTTTAAGGTTTCACCATTGTGCCTCATAGCTGCTTAAAAATAAAAAACAAGGCCGTGAAGTGAAAACTGTGGATAAAACAGGAAAGATCACACCACCAGTTTGTAAGTATTTCAGATACTTAAAGCAAAAAAAAAAAAAAAGATGTATAATGCTAATATCGTGAAATGTTTTTCAGCCATATTGTCCAGCCTTATTTTGGGTCAAAAAGTGTTGCTGCCAGCACAACAAGAAGCTCAGAGTAAAGTTGAATCTGCTATGAATCTATCATATTATAGTGACTGGCAACAAAATAGCACTAACATGTATAATCTACAAATAAAAATCAATAAAACAAATAAAATATTTTAGAGAAAAATATGATTGTCAGGACATTTATACCATAAAGCACACAAATACTCATAGAAATATCAACGCACTGACTGCAGTTTCAACCCAGATTTTATTAAACTTTATTGGGCAGTTCAGTTTGACATCCACAAGGTATTTACCTCAAGAACAAATAAAATCAGACTGCAGGGATTATCGAGAATCTTGTTGTTGAGGTCAAGATGTGTTTTTTAAAGTGTTTTATCGCTTCTACAAAAAAATAAAGCAAACTAGAAGGAGTAAAAACACAAACAGTGACAAAGAAAGATAAAAAATGGTAAATCATAACACCACACCATGATTTAAAACCGCCTGAAATCCCAAAATTGAAATTCTCCTTAAAGAAGCAGGATGTGAGAGTAGCTGATTTGTAGTCTCTTGCAAAATAACGGTTTATTATTGCGGTTTATTATTGCTGAGTTGTTTTTGTGACAAGACTTAGAAAATGAAGAGGGACCTGTTCAAGTTTTCCAGCTGGGAACAAACTGCTTGCTGCAAAGCAGAAGCAAGAAGAGGCTAAGTGTCCTGAGCAGTAAAGTACAGAAGCACACCTTTGATACACACCATCAACCTTAAATCAGTGGTTTCACATTCTTCAGATATATATTTACACGTCATTTTTAGCTGAACATATCAGGAATGACAGAAGTGATGATAACCATCTACAGCTGTGACTGTTGCTGTTGGAAATGGTTCTCGAAGAAAACCAGAACAAATGCAAATACAAGACAGCACATTTGGGGCCTCATCATTAAGTACTGAGAACAGGGATTAGAAGAAACTGTTAAAAAAAAAAGGGAAAATAAAACAAGAGCACACAGAAATGTAACAGTTAAGGAAATACTCAAACTGTCTAATCTGTAAACATCTCTTGGTCTTTACTGGTGTGTTAAAAGAACAGTTTGTAACAGTTAAACTCATTTTAAATAGATTTATTACACCGAGACTGTTTTTATTTGTTTCTTTGGGTTTGTGGTTTTGTTTTGGGTTACTTCTAGATCAAAGTTTTGCATCTGTTTGCTCGTTAGGTTTGGTCTTGCCACATCATAGTTTATTTTTTAGCCTTCACTTTTAGATTTTTTTCCCTTTGGATTATTCCTGCCAGGTTCTTGCATCAGTTTTCTTAGTCATCATTAATTTCATTTGTGCTGTTTAGGTTTGCTGTTAATATTTCTTTGTCTAGAAAATGTTGGTATGTGTATGTTTTCTTAGAGTTTCTTAGTGGATCTTCTGTTCTGTTTTTCTCAGTTCAGGCCCGTTTCTTGATCATGAAACTATTTCCTCTCCTATGTTTTTCCTCTCCGCTGGGGGGTATTTTAATGGCAATAAGTCATAATCATCAAAATTAAGAGAAACAGACTTTTGAAACACATCATCGTATATGCTTAATATTCAAATATTATTCTCCCAATTGTTTCATTTACAAATCTGGTCAATAAGAAGTTTTATTAATGATTTATTGATTTCTGTGTTTTCTTCCTGATGCATGTCTCCTGTTTTCCTGTTTTCAGGTGTAAAGTTTGTCCCCTAACCTTCTTCTCCAAGTCCGACATGCAAATTCACTCCAAAACGCACACAGAGGCGAAAGCCCACAAGTGTCCTCACTGCACCAAGACGTTTGCGAACGCCTCGTACCTGGCCCAGCATCTGCGCATCCACCTGGGCCTTAAGCCGTACCGCTGCTCCTACTGTGAAAGATGCTTCCGCCAGCTCTCCCACCTGCAGCAGCACACCAGGTCTGACCTCCGACAAACACACAGCTCATCTGCAACGGTTCAGTATAGACCTGCACAAAATACTAACACTAATACCTGCAATGTTGCAAAGGACTGCTTTTATGCAGTGTTTGATAGTATGTTATATGCCATAGCTTTAGACTTTTAATATCAGAGCAAGACCTAGAGAAAGTACTGCTAGTTTATAAATCTAGCTCAGCGTTTCTCAAGCTTTTTCAGGGCGAGGGCCACTTAACCCATTTAACAAACAGTCACGGACCACCTAACCTGAAATTAGTTTTTAATTAAATGAAAATGACAATTGGCCTAAACGCAGAGTATCATTCATTACCAAGCAAAGTCATATACAACAACGAACGATTCCTAATGCTAACCGCTTACAGTCGTTCAAAGGAATCCAAGCGCTAGTGAAAGACACACCAACACTCAGCAGCTATGACGTAGCTTCCTCTGATACTATAATATTCCTGGAGTTGTTTTCTTTCCACCGGTGTCTGCAGCTTTTCTTTTGAGTTACCCGTTTCCATCACTATTTTTAACACAGCCCTGTGGTAAGCTAGCTGTAGCGTCGGACTTTAAGCTGACGTCACGGCAAATAAACGGTCGTTTACATGCAGTAACTCGCGGTCCTCTAGGGGGCGACCGCGGACCACCAGTACAAATCTAACTCAACCCAGAACAACTGGAAGCAACATTTAGTTTTTTTTACCTCAATAATCCAGAACAAACTTAAGATCCAGAGAAACCCCTATTAGTTTATAAATTATAGACTACTTGATCTTACTAAACATGGGGAACCAATATGTAGTTTTATATTTTTACCTTTTTGTCTTTCTTTTGGTTTTGTTTTTTTGTTTGTACTTGTTTGTAATTTTAGAGGGGTTGTAGTTATTTTGAATATACTGACTTGGTGTTGATGCAACATTCAAGAGCCAAAACGTCATTTTAAATGTAAAAAGGGTTAGGGTCAGGGTTACGTAGTTTTGTATTTTTCCAAAATTAAAATATAAAAAGCCTTTTCTGGGTCACCTTATCACTTCATATTTGATGCTTTTATCTTCCTGTTCTACCCGGTTTTGTGTCTTTTGTGTTTCAGAATCCACACAGGTGACCGACCTTACAAATGCCTCCATCCAGGATGTGAGAAAGCTTTTACGCAACTCTCTAATTTGCAGGTAAACATGAGCTGTTTTCTAACTCTCTCCCCCATTATAACAACCAAGGTTAATGGTTTAGAAAATCACATGTAATGTGATCTTTTTACCAAGTATCATAAAGAAGCCTCCTGTTTCACCTGATCTTATCAGAAACGTCTTCATCTGACCCTCATTTGTTTATATTGTTTATTTATATATAGCATTTTGATATTTAGAAAAAAAAGTACCTTGTAATTTATACTCCCATTCTGACCAACATCTTTCACCCAACAACTGTCTCTATAATAACCTACTTTAAATCAGAAAAACTTACATTTGTTGCATCTGTCTCGATTTTTTTCAGCGTAAGATTTTACATGGGCTGGTTTTACTGGACAACAGTCAAAATAATTTTTCAAGACTACTGTCTTGAAGTCTAGAAGTCCACCAGTCGTTCATTTCCCACCAACATCATGTGGCTTCTATCTGAAAATACACTGAAAAATACGTGCCAAACTTTTAATTTTCCTCCCATTTTGTTTCTTCTGGCTCACTGCGATGATTAAAAGTAAAATCCCTCTTCAACTTTAACTTTAAACTGAAGCTTTGGGGCTGAAACAGACTAGTATGTGCAATTATTTGGAACAAAGATGATGCACCTGCTTTTAAAAACTGGTATGTTTAATCAGTATGAATATGGTTGTATTTTTATGCGTGTCATGATATTCTTCTGTTTTCTGCTGCATGATGTTATGTTTTCTGAACAGGTTGTTGTTGAAAATGAGATTTTGTTCTCAACTTACCAGGTTAAATAAAGGTAAAATACACTAAGTTGCAAATTGTGAAGAAAGTATCCCCACAAGCTGATTACAAAAAAGTCAGGAATCTGTAACCTGGGACTCTTTAAGCTTCTACAGTGGCTCAGTGGAAAAAATGACCAGAAATCATTCAAATAAATCTTTGAAAAAAGTCTAGCAGGATATTTTAGCAGTTTTTCTATGCATCTTTATGCAATATCTGAATGACACAAATGGTACAAGAAATGTGTTTTTGTTTGCTAAAGACTCAAAATACCAAGAAGTTGTTTTTACTTCAAAATGTCTTGCAGCTTTTTCAACTTTTATAGGATTGTATTTAGCTGAACTGAGGTCAAAGCGGTTCTCGTGGTTGTAAAAGTCGCTTCCTAATCAGCGGGGAAGTTCATTTTATGTGACTTTTTCTATAGGTTTGTTGAACAAACTGACTCAGAAAACCCTTCGGTCTCCAGTTTGTCCTTAAGCACACAGACTAACCCGATGTGTGTCTGCTTTCTTTCTCAAAGTCTCACCAGAGGCAGCACAACAAGGACAAGCCCTTCAAATGCTCCAACTGTTTCCGTGCCTACTCAGACTCGGCCTCGCTGCAGATCCACCTCTCTGCACACGCCATCAAGAACGCCAAGGCCTACTGCTGCAGCATGTGCGGCCGGGCGTACACCTCAGTGAGTTCACAGGAAACTCTGTGGCCGTTTTACATGCAGGGGAAGCTGTGAGGCACCGTAGAGCACAATAAATGGAGTTCACTTTAAACAATGTATGCAAACTCATAGCCTCAAAACAAAGAAACCAAGTTTTCAAAATTTAAGTTTGCAGAACTCAACTAACTTGATCATTATCAGGAAGTAGTGTTGATATAATAGTACATGTGTGTTCTGCAAAACCTGATTAGTTCTCCTAAGTTGCAAACTCAAAATCTTGTAGTTTTCATAAAATTAACTGATTGAGCAACTTTGTGCAATTTTCCTTAAGTTAACATAATGAATCTGAGTATATTTTAAGTACTGCAATGACACCATGTGCTTAATTTTTTAATTAGAAACTACATATATAAAAAGAAAACAACATAATCAAAATAATTCCTGCTTTCTGTTTTTGTTTCTCAAACTCAAACTTTGACAGAAAATATTGGAAGCAGTTATGTTTTTTCAAATCCTTTCATTAAAACAATCCCATGTTTCGCTACCCCTTAAGGCAGAGCAGGTTGGTCATGGTGCAGTTTCATGTATGAAAATGTAAATACCCAAATCATAGGTAGTATGAGTTGCACTGCTCGTTATGATGAACTGACTACATACATGGAGCTTTGGAGTCGCCTTAAAACATCTTAAAACATTTTTTGTGACAAAAGTGGTTTAACTAGTCGCTGCTGGTGGCACAATGCATTGTGGGATACCTTGCTGGCCTATTAAATATTAAGCTTTTTGTCATTTACTCAACTTTAGTAGATTAACTTATCAAGCACTTTATGTTCAAGTTATGTTCACTTGAAATGTTTTATTAATATTTCGCCATTTGATACGTTTCTGTGGCCTCTTTTTTGTATTTAATTTGAGACTTGTATTCTGCCATCTACTGGATGATCGTTGCACTGCAGGCGGTGAAACTGCTTTTTTTTTTCTCTCTCTCTCTCTCTCTCTTTTCAAAATGTCCGCTCGCATGAGATTGGTCACACGGTTTTTCCAGGGAAAACCTTGCCAATTTTAGACAATTTTGGGTAAAATTAAACATGTATTGTTATTAATTTTTTTTAATTAATGCTTTACATTTTGAGACAATGCACAATAACATAATGATTTATTTGGTATATTGCATTTAAATAATGTTAAAATCTGTGTATCATATTTGGTACTGCAGGTATTTAAAGTGATTTGTGTAATATTTTTATAAAGTAATCTATGTGAGTTCTTTCACAATAATAGTTGCTCTAAAACCACTGCATTTTCCGGCGTAAAGTTACTTTTCCTCTTCTCTCCAGGAGACGTACCTCATGAAGCACATGCCGAAACACGCGATGGTGGAGCACGTCATGTCCCACCATTCCCCTCAGAATAGGACAGGTTCTCCCAATATTCCCATTCGGATCTCCCTCATCTGAGCTCCATTGCCGTCGTCTTTCCTCCCATCACAGACTCCTACTGCCTGACGGACCGCTAGGCTCCAAACGGGGGCAGAAATCATCTGGAGAAGAGGTTCTCGTCTGACGAGTTTTTCTTTCTTCTCTTTGTTGCTAAAGAGAAAGTATTAACGGGATCATCCAAAGGTGATTTCAGCACTTTCAGGCCTGACACTGACGGGCCGGATATTTGTTTTGTTTTTGTTTTTTTAATGGGACTTAAACAAGTATTGCTCCAGGCAGCTACATAGAGAATCTTTTTAAGTTTTGTGTTATACATATAACTCTGTGTTTTTTAAAAAACGCTTTAATTAACTCCCCTTAAGTCATATATTAATTAGTCTTCCATTATCTAAAGATGCAGGCAATCTTGGTGACAACCCTGGTGTGTAAAAAAACGTCTCTAATTTACCGATTTTATACTATAAAATCCGTATTTATACAGACTTTTTATACGGATTTAGCTGTTTTTATACGGTAAAATTCTGGCAACCACTGCTGCCAGTATTTTACTGTAAATTATAAACTTTTTTTTTTACAGTGTGGTGTGTAAAATAGCTAAAAAAATCTTTTACTACAGTGCCACAATTTAACTTAAAATTAAAGGAAAATCCAATAATTTAAATGAGTATAACAAAAATAAATTCATGTTAAGAAGGCGTAAAATCATTCCAAAAAAAATTTGCCAAAAGTGATTTTCTTTTTTTCCCTTGGCAAAAATGAGTTAGGCTTTTATTTTAGGTGACAATATTTAAAATGATTTCAACTAAAACATATAAGATGCTTTTTAAGTAAATCAAAACTTGAAAAACAGACGTATTATTAAGTTATGATTTTCTGGCTTCTTTGGACATACAGCTCTGGAAAAAAATTAAGAGTTCTCTGATTTTACTCTACAGGTTTATGTCTGAGTAATATGAACATTGTTCTTTTATTCTGTGAACTACTGACAACATGTCTGTGATATTCAAAGCACAAATTTAGGGTTTATTTGCAGAAAATGAGAAATGGTCAAAATAACAAAAGGTGCTTTCAGACCTCAAATAATGCAAAGAAAACTAGTTGATACTCATTTACAAACAGCAACACTAATGTTTTGACTCAGGAAGAGTTCAGAAATCAGTATTTGGAGGAATTACCAGGAGGTTTTCAATGGGGTTCAGTGCAGTGGGCTCTTAGTTTTTTCCAGAGCTGTAAATGTGATGTTATGCCAGAGAAAAGCCTCATCAGACCTACCATCACAAACACTACTGGGACCTTAACTGGAAATATCTGCTTTGAGAGTAAAATTGAGCCTAAAACAAAGGATGAATGTTTGGAAATTTGCCTCATCCCTAAAGCTAAGCATGGTGGTGGATCTGTGATCCTGTGGGAAGAACTTGGAGTCTGTAGGATCTAGATGCCATAAAAAGAAAACAAGATAATTTCCCTAATTGGTAAATGTTCTCCAATTAAAAGTTGAATTCTTATTACATTTTCAAAACGAAAAGATTAATTTAAGGTTTTTTTTTTTACACATCTCTTAGGTGGATTGTCAACATATTTGTCTGTAAGTTAACATAAAAGTGTAGGTTTGTGTATTCATGTGTGTTTTAACACTAAGGCATTCATTAACAATGTGTCAGCATCTTCAGTTCCAGTGATGTCTTCGCCTTCTTGCCAAGCTCAGAATCGGATGGAGAGGTTTGATTAAACTTCACGACAGTCATCTGAAAAAAATCTAGGTTGAGGAAACTGTTGAGTTTTTCACATCACTGCAAAACAGACCAGAATAAGCTGAAGTATTCAGAGGGTAAAGGCAGAACGCCTCGATCCGTTTCCCTTTGACAAAACTATTTTTCTGTGGTGTTTTGAGAATTAGATGTTATTCACTTAATGGAATCACGTTATTTAGCGTTTTTAGTTGACGTTCTCTTAATAATATCCTTGTGCTCTCTTGATGCAGAAACTATAAAAAGTTATCAAAAATCAAATAAGATTTTGTTTGTGTATCACATTTCAGCAGCAGGGCATTTCAAAG